GATGGCGCCCCTTAGTGAGTTCCAGGCTCCCCACGCTGTGACCCGGGTGCAGGTCGGCTGGAACCCACGGCCAGAGCTCGGACCGGGGCGTGGGGAGGAGAGGCTCCGCCCGCGGGTCCATCGCCAGGAGCGGGAGGACCAGTCTGTCCCGTGTGGCTGTCAGGAGAAGTGGAGCAGGCTGCTTTGCAGGAGCCGGCCCAGCGGCATAGCGCTTGGGCAGCCTCTGGGGGAGGCCCGAGATGCCTGTGGAGGGGCTCAGAGGCTCAGATGAGAAAGGACTCTGGGTAGCTTAAAAAAAAAAAAGGAAGAGAGCCCTAGCCAGTTTGGCTCAGTGGATAGCGCATCGGCCTGCGGTCTGAAGGGTTCGATTCCGGTCAGGGCACAGGCCCGGGGTGCGGGCTCGATCCCCAGTGTGGGGCGTGCAGGAGGCAGCCGATCAATGATTCTCATCGTTGATGTTTCAGTCAGTGCTGTGTTCCCCCACCCCGCCCTGCCTCTCTCTCTCCCTCTCCCTTCCTCTCTGAAATCAATAAAAAAATTATTTTTAAAAAATGGAAGAGAAAGGAGACGCCAGGCCCGTGAGCCGGGCACACGGGTCCTCCCACGAGCTCTGCCCACAGGTGCCAGGCTGGCTGCGGAGCTCCGAGTGAGGACCCTCGCAGACCTGGGCCGGCGGTTCCGGTTCCGAGAGCCCAGCGGCCTTTTCTGAGCCTCCCGCTGGGCAGGACTGAGCACTGACGTTGACTGTGAGCTCGGTGCCAGGAGCACCCCTTCAGCTGCCCACTGTGCGTCCCTGCCTTCCCCCCAAGACTCTGCCACGAGCCTCGGGTCTCCGTTCACACAGCGGGAGGTCCACCTGGGCCAGTGAGTCAGGTTGTCCCGCCTCCTCCCAGCCACGGAGCCGCCTGTGATCCCTGGAAGCCGCTCTCACCCTCTGCTTCCCCGTGGCTGGTGCAGAGGGAGGAGGCTCCGGACTCGCCCAGTGATGAGCACGCGGCAGGCAGCCCCCTCACCGCGGGACCAGCAGCTCCGGGACAAAGCGGGCGTTTAGAGTAGCCCTGGGCGACACGGCTGCCCGAGATGGCGATGGTGTGAGCTGCGCTGTGGAGCGTGCGCTGCGTTGCTTAGCAGGCGTTTGCCCGGGAAAGCCGCGGAGGAGCCCGCCCCCGAGGGCTTTCTGGTGAATTTAAATGGTCTCCTCGTTAAGCCTCCTGCTTAAGCCTCTATGGGCGCAGAGGACGAGAGCCTTTGATTCCGTTTGAAGTGGTTGGAAGCAGTTGGTTGCCCGTGGCAGCCCGCAGCCTGCGTGACGCTGTTGATAAATAATTACTCATCAGCAGGGCGTTAGGTTTAAGCAGCTGAAGTTAAGCAGGTAAATGTGCGCGAGAACCTGGGCGGGGAGGCCGTGGCTGTTCCCTTCTAGGCATTTCCACGGATGAGAAAGGACTCTGGGTGTCACTTACGGGTCTGTTGGGGTTTCCCCAGCAGCCCCTGAGCCCTGTCAGCCCCTGAGCCCTTTGTTGAGATGAACGTGTGACTTGGGAGTCCACCCGTCCCCCAAATGCTCCTGTCGGGCTGCGTCCCCCTTCTCCGCGGGTTCCGCAGGCCCTGAGCCTGCTGGTTCTGGCCCAGGGTCCGAGGCCCTTGGGGGGAGGCCTGTGATCAGAGCTCTGGTTAAGCGGCAGCCAGGAGAGGGGTGCACCTCCTCTGGCTCTGGCAAGCGGGCCCTCTCCCACGGTCCCACGGCTCCAATGCACAAGGCCCTCCCCCTTGGCCGGCCCTCCCCACTTGGCTACCCTCCCCCACACCTGTCGTGGCACCCCAGCTCCACTCTCCCTCAGCAGCTCACCTGACCCTCTGTCCCCACAGCCACCTCATTTCCGGGGCTGGGGGGGGGGTGCTCTGAGGTCACTGGTCAGGTGAGCCCAGATTGGGGTGCATTCTTGGAGGTGTTCTCCCTGGGGGCCCTGTAGGGCCTGGTTCCTGGGTGACAGTGGGGGCATGTCCGGGGCAGCCCCACAGCCCACGTTCTGGCCACGGCTGCGGTGTCTGGTGCCCGGCCAGTCAGTGCTGTGTCCCCCCACCCCGCCCTGCCCCACGCTGCATTGCCCCTTGGGGGGGGGGGTGGCCCTGCCTGGCTCCTCCTGTGCAGGATTCTGCCAACCTCGCGGCCCTCGGACTCAGGGCATCCGCTTCCTGCCGCTCGCGCCCGGGAATGCAGAGGGCAGAGGGCACCATTGGCAGGAGGCAGCCATGGTGGTGACAACGGTGGCGCCTCAGGACAGCCGAGGGGGAGGTCCGGGCTGTGCAGGGGGGCTGAGACCTCGGGGAGCCTGCCGTTGGGGGGACAGCGACACCGCCGGCTGCTCAGCTGTGGCGCAGACCTTGGGTTGGGGGAGGACGACAGTCCTGCTGGCGAGATGGCAGGTCAGGAAGTAGGAATGAGGCTGCCCGGCCCCTGGACCCCAGGGTGGCCAGGCCGTCCCACTGAGCAGGACACACCAGCCTCCGGTGGAGGTCACGCCCTCTGGGCCCTGGAGGACTTGAAGGTCACAGCCCTTTGGCCAGAAGAATGCTGGGAGCGAGCCGCCCCGGAGGGAAGTGTGCAGCTGTGCTGGGCGGAGCCTCGCAGCGCCTCCCGCAGGCGGCCAGGCCGTGGAGGGGCTCCGGGCGCACCTCCTGCCCCCCATCCCCGACCCACATCGGCCCCCACAGGAGAGGGGGCGTCCGAGAAGCAAGTTCTGCCCCTCACACATGGGGGGGGCCGGTGAGCCAGACTTGCGAGGGTTTAGCGACGCAGAAACAGCCGTGTTCTGGAGCCGCCAGTTGGAAATCCCACAGCAGCAGAGCCGGGACAGTGTCCACGTCACGCGTGTTCTGAGGAGAGCGTGGTCCCGTGTCCCAGGCGGGCAGAGGAGGCCCCCTCCGTGTCAGTGCCCAGCCTCCGGCCCAGCGCCCAGCACGGAGGAGGCGCTCTGAGCATTGGGGGACTCAGCTTGAACGACCTTGGACTTTCTCCCGCATTTTCCCTGAAGACGAGCAGGTGCTGTGAAGCCGGGCAAAGGCTGCTCACCCAGGCCGCCTGCTGGGTGTGGGCTGCTGCTCCTTCCATCGTGGGCCCTCTAGGCCCTTCTCGGTGTCCACTCCCAGCTGGGGATGGCGCCTGTCCGTCCTCTGCACGGACCGTCCCCTCCCGGCAGCCTCCGCTTGGGGACCTCAGAGCCCCAGGGGAGCGTGGGTGCACCTCTGTCCATCATCCCACCTCTGCTCGGTGCCCCTGGCTCCCCACCGTTAGGGGAGGGGTCAGGGTCCAGGCGCCACGTTCCGGTTCCTGCGGTTCCTGCGTTTGGAGCCCAGCACGCGCACCTCCCACCCTGTGGACCTTCAGGTGCTGGTCTTCTGGCAGCCGCCCCACGCGGTGGCCTGGGAGCCGCCATGGGAGTTCTGGGCGGGGAGAGCCTGACCATCGGGAGCCCCCTGCAGCCCGCAGCTGTGTTCCATGTGCATAGAAATGCCCGTATTTGAAAACAAAGACGTCCCGTCCGGGTTTTAACCCGGCCCCTACCTGCAGGCTCCCCATACTCCCCTCTGTAAAATGGTGGGGAACGCAGTTTGCTAAGTAAGAGGGCGTGAATATAGGGGGAAAGCTTCCGAGGTCGATTTACATAAAATGCCGCTTTGTTTGAGAGCTTGTCCCCAGACAGAGCCCCTGTTTCAATGCTTTATGACGTTCGGAATCTCAGTTGTTCCTGATATTTATTCGTTTGGCAAACTCACCGCGTCCGTGTCCCCTCGGAGACAGAAAAATAAGCCGTCTCGGCGATCACTTACCTCTACGCACAGAGAATGTTCTCTGGCGGGAACCGCGGTTACAAACACGTGTCACCCGCAGAAAACGAAACCCGGGAGGAGGGATAAACGCTGTGCACCCGCGGTGACGCGCACCTTCCTCCCGCACCTTCCTCCCGCAGTGCCGAAGATCGTGATCCTGGGCCCGCCCGCCTCGGGGAAGACAACCATCGTGAGTGTGTCCCCGCGTGTGCGACACGGTAACACCCCCAAAGCGGGACGAGGCTGCGCTCAGCGACTTCCGTCCTTCCCGTCTCCGGCTTCTGACTTACTGTAAATCAGAAGACGCCTTGATCGATAAGCCCAATTAATTTGGAGTCTTATTATTACGCTCGCGCTGGCGGGCTCAGAGTAGAGCGTCTCTGTCAAATTCTGGGCCCCACATGGAGGAAGTCTTTCCTATTTATACTTTTTTTCAGCTCTTTGTCTCCCAAATTTGGAACCAGACTTCCGGGCCTTCTGAGGAAGGGCCTGCGCACTGGGAAGGGGCCGGGAGACCACATCTCCAGGCCTGGCCTGGCGCCGGCACCGACAGCTCTGTCTGGGGCATGGTTTATGGCCTCTCTGGATGGGAGTCGTCTTATTTTCCCTCATTATTTAAGCAAGCAAACGCTTACAGAAACCAGAATAGCAGGGTTAAAATTTTAAACAGCAGTTTTTACCCAAGATGGAGGTTACTGTGCTTCAATTCTTTTTTATTCTAAAATGTATTTTTATTGATTTCAGAGAGGAAGGGAGAGGGAGAGAGATGGAAACATCAGTGATGAGAGAGAATCATCCATCGGCGGCCTCCTGCACGCCCCACACTGGGGATCGCGCCCACAGCCTGTCCATAGACTCCGACGCTCAACCAGCTGAGCCCCACGGGCCAGGTCGCCTCGCAGCACCAGGCCCCGCACTCTGTTCTCACCTGACAGCGTCTGCTGGGGAGGCCCAGGCCTCCCGGAGAGCGCCCCCGAGGCCATGCTGAGGCTGGGGGTGGCCTCCGCACTGGCTGGGCTCCCCGAGCCGTGTTGGAGCCGGTGGCGGCCGGGCGTGAGGGCTCCGAGGGCCGAGGGCCTTTGTCCCCGAGACGGTCGCCACTGTCCCGGCTCTGGCTCTGCTCTGAGCACAGGGAGCGTTGACGCAGCAGCTGTGACTCGAGCAGAGACCTTCCGTCAGGCCCTGCCCCTCCCTGAGCCGGGCAGGCCCACAGCGCTAGCTGCCCCCCCCCCCCCTAATGGGGGGGACACACAGCACCTCTCTTCACAATGAGGTGACATCCAGTAAAATCCAGGCAGAGGCCCCCAAGGGCTGTCTGCTGACGCGTCACCGCGTTTCCTGCGTGAGGAGCGGAGAGTGTCGGGTTCATGCCTCCCGATGCCAACGTGGCCAGGGGGCGGCTTGGCGTTGAGAGCCTTCTATGCGTTATTATCCCTTCGGACTCACTCTCCCCTGCGTCTGTGTAGCTGTGAATGAGCCTACACACTCATGGGACAGAAGAGGCCGCCTCCCCGTCCCTAAGAAAATGCCAGCCTCGCCCTGGCTGGTGTGGCTCAGTGGGTAGAGCGTCGGCCTGCTGACTGGAGGGTCCCCTGCATTCGATTCCGGTCAAGGTCACGTGCCCGGGTTTCGGGCTCGGTCCCCAGTGTGGGGCGTGCAGGAGGCAGCCGACCAGTGATTCTCTCTCCTCACTGATGTTTCCTTCTCTCTGTCCCTCTCTGAAATCAACAAGAAAGAGAAGTCAGCATCGAGTGTGCCCGCCCGCATTTAGGGCCCATCAGTTCCCTGTCTCTAGGTCACAGCTCCTGGCCCGCGGGCTCCGGGCTCTGCCACCGCAGCCAGCAGCAGGGGGCAGGGGTTTAGCTCCTGAGCAGGTGGGGCGGCCGGAGGTGCCGCTGGGGTTGTCTCCCGGAGCCTCCTGTAGAGACAGTGACGCCCCCCTGCGGCCAGGCTGTGCTCACGGAACAGGGAGGGCCTGGGCTGTCCTGGGGGTCCCTCCATTACGGCTACCGGCTTCCGCTTCCTTCAGGCCATGTGGCTCGCCAAGCACCTGAAGACCAGCCTCCTCACCATGGACAGCCTGCTGGCCATGGACCACTCGGAGCTGGCCGAAGGGGCCCGGAGGCACTACGAGAGGAAGAGGGTAGGGCCACCCCCACAGAGCGCCGTCTAACTGCTCAGTCCCAGGCTTCCTGCCCCATGGCCTGCCTGGCACTCAGGGGGAGCAAGTGATGCCCCCTCCCTGCCCTCTCCCTGCCCCTGCTCCTGTGCCCTCTCCCTGCCCCTGCCCCCCTGCCCTTCCCTGCCCCTGCCCCCCTGCCCTCCCCTGCCCCCTGCCGCTGCCCCTGTGCCCTCTCCCTGCCCCCTGCCCCTGCCCCTGTGCCCTCTCCCTGCCCCTGCCCCTGTGCCCCCTGCCCTCCCCTGCCCCCATGGTCCTGCAGGAGCCAGAGTGTGGGGTTACAGCTTGAGGGCCGCCAACGTTGGGAGTAGGAAGATGGTTTTAGAAAGAAAGTGGAATCTCACTTTCCACAGGAGACAAGCTTGGTGGAAGGGGGGGGCGGGGCTTATTTCCAGGGGAAGATGCTTTTGGGTGTAAAGTTCAGTGGAGAGAGGAGGGCGGTTAGGAAATTCCTCCGGAGATTCCTTAGGCTGATGGTCAGCACATTTCAGGCCACACGGCCTGCTTTCAGGGTGCCTTGTTGGGGTTCTCTGGCCGGCAGCCGGGGTGCAGGGGAGATGAGAGGCAAGGACGTGGGGGCGGGTCAGGGAGGACAAGCGTCTCAGGGGCTGAAGGAAGGGGTGCAAGCGGCCCTGCTAGCGGCCTGGTCACAGGTGGCGCCCGCCGGGCCCGGTGGCCTGCTGTTTGGAGCTGGCACAGCCCCTTTGAAAGGAGCTGCTGGGTGCCGCCACGTCACCGAGTGAGCGGCAGGAGGAGGGGCCCGGGGCTGCCCCTGGGCTGTGACCGTGGGGGCTTCGCTGGGCCCCATCGGTGTGTCCCTGGTTCTCCTAGAAGAGCCAGGCGCTGGGGCTCGGGCGGGAGAGCGGGAGAGCCCGGAAGGGGGCCTGGTTCCCGCAGGCAGCTCGGCGGGGTGTGGAGAAGGCCCCGAGCCCCGCTCAGCTCTGTGACACATCAAAGCTGGCATCTGGACAGCACCCGGCGGGGGGCACCCAGGAGGGGCCCGCTCAGAGTCAGCAGCCCGTCCCCTGCTGCGCAGACTGGGGGGGCACCGCACCCCCCACCTGTCGCCTTTCAGCTCCTGTTCTTTGATTGCACAGTTCCCCCCACCCCCAAGCGTCCCTGTGTCCCACGCATCCCTACCTGTTTGAACGAATGGGTGTTGTCAGGGAGGGAGATGGGTCCCTGGAAGCAAGCCTTGTATGTCAGCTGGCCCTGCCTGGGGACAGAGGGGACGGAGGGGACAGAGGGGTCGGGAGGGTCCGGAGAGGGTAGGAGGGGCGATGCTCCCTGCCCCCCCGACCCCCGCCAGCCTGGGAAGTGCCGAGAGAGCTGGGGGATACGGGCAATGGCGGAAACAGCCCCCCGTCCAGCAGCTTCTCCGGGGGCTCAGAGCCTTGAGTTTGCTGAAGATGCGGGGTCTGCGGGCGTGGCCCTCGGGCCAGCACAGCCCCTGGGAGCCTGGGCCCTGGCCCCCCGGCCGCGCCCTCACTCCCCTGTGCTCCTTCCTCAGTCGGTGCCCAGCATGCTGCTCGTCAGACTGGTCCAGGAGCGCCTGCTCCAGGACGACTGCATCAGCCGGGTGAGAGCCCCACGGGGGCTGGCGCTGGGGGAGGGGGGGGGGCGGGTGGTCACCAGGTGGAGGGAGGGCGAGGGCGAGGGTGAGGGTCCCATCCCGGAGCGGAGATGACCGGGGGCCGTGGCCAAACTGGAGCTTGGGGAGGGTCAGGCCATGGACGTGGGTTTCACCTTGGATGGAGGGAAAACGACAAGGCGGAATCTGGGGTGCCCATCAGCCCACCACGGGGTCACGGGGGCCTTTAATGAAAGGACAGTGTGGACGTGGGGGCAGGGGTAGGTGAGGCAACCAGCCAGCACTGATGACGCAATCTGAGGGCAGAGCACAGGGAGCGGACACCCTGGACCGGGAGGGGCAGTGGGGTCTGGGGGCACCCCAAACTCTGAGGTGGGGCTGAGCCCTCAACCTGAGGAATCGGGTGCCGCCTCTGAGTAGATGGAGTCGGAGTGGAGTTGAATTGTACGACAGACACCAGCTGGTGTCCCAGGACACCCCCTCGCGCCGCCCCCCACACACACACTGGAATTGGTGACCAGAACCGATTTCGGTACCACAGGGTCCTGGCCCGGTGCCCCGCGGGTACCGGGACGACTGTGGGCGTGTTGGCTCACTCGTTGCCTCTGGGACCCATCAGTGACCAAACTTGCTCGTTTAAGACGCGTTTCCTTTCTGGCTGATGAAATGCCTCCTTTTTCCTCTTGTGTGTGTGGGGAAACCACGTACTATTTCATGAGGAGAAAGGGCTGCGTGCGAGCCCGCCGTGACGCGTCCCCGGGTCTGACTCGAGCCGAGTGAGTCTGATTGATGAGTCAGCTTCCGGCCCCAGGGACCACCTCGAGTCTGCAGCTGGAGCCCGGAGCTGGATGGGGCATCCTACGGGAACCGCAGGGGAGCACCCGCTCTGGTCTTTGGAGGAGAGGGGAGGAGACGCGGGCAACGTATCAAAGAGGCGGAGGGCCCGGAGGGCAGGAGGCTTGCCGTGGAAATTGCTAATTGCGCTTTAATGGTAGTCAGGAGGGAGGGAGGCCAGGATCACAGAGCTGCGCGCTGCCCGCCTGCGCCAGGCCGAGCTCTGCCGGCCTCGCCAGCTCCCCGGCCGGCTGGCTGCTCCGCGTTCCTTTTTTCTCACCCGTGACATCTGCTCGGCGCGTGTCCCTCCTGTGATCCGCGCCCTCAGCGGTGCGGACCCCCAGCTCTGCGCCGGCGCTCGGTGCCCCGAGCAGACGGGCCTTTGATGTGTGATAAAACAGAACCAGGCCACGGGGGTGTGGTGGGCGCGGGCCTCGGAATATCAATTAACCTGCTCTGACAGCCTCTGCGGAGCCAGCGGCCGGCGTGTCGCAGGAGTGGCGGCCGGCTGGATGCTGTGTTCTCATTAGGGCCTGGCTGATGCGCCCGCACCCAGCTCTCCCGGAGGTCAGATTTGCCAGATTGTGCAGCCATGAACTTGCTCTCAGCCAAAATTGCTGTTTCTTCTCGAAAGAACAGCCCACCGCCCTAGCTGGTGTGGCTCAGTGGATAGAGCATTGGCCTGCAGACTGAAGGGTCCTGGGTTCGATTCCAGTCAAGGGCACATGTCTGGGTTGCCGGCTTGATCCCTGGTTTTGAGGGAGGGGTTTGCAGGAGGCAGCCGATCAATGATTCTCTCTCATCATTGATGTTTCTATCTCTCTCTCTCTCTCTCTCCGGGAGGGGTTTGCAGGAGGCAGCCGATCAATGATTCTCTCTCATCATTGATGTTTCTATCTCTCTCTCTCTCCCTTCCTCTCTGACATCAATACAAATATATTTTAAAAAAGGAAAGGGAAAGGAAAAACAGCCCACAGTCTGGACGGTGGCAGGACCCTGTGTGGACACAGGCGTCCGGGAAAGACTTCTCGGAGGGCTCGGCCTGGGCTCCCACCTGAGAAGCCGGGACCCGCGCTGCCCGACGCAGGGCCTGGGTTCCTGGGCCCGTGCGGGCCGACGGGTGTCGTGGCGACTCCCCCATCGAGGCGGGCTGCCCCGGGGGTGTGAGGCTGCCCTGGGGGTCCCTCGGGGGCCTGTTTCTAGCACCTCGGATTCTGGGAGCGCGGCTGGCCGGGATTCGCCCGAGCCCCACCCCCTCGGGCTCGGAGCCTCAGATCCCCGGAGTGATGCGCCGGGAGCCCGGCTAATTAGGGAGCTGCTCCTCACTTTGCTGCACTTTCCCGTGTAATTGGAAGTCGGTGAGAGCGACTCCCCCAAATAGTTCTAAAAGCTGCGGACCACATACTGACATCAGCTGCGGATTCGCGGGGCGAGATGCTAATGATGGCTCTGCAATGCAATATTAAACGCAGGGGCCGTCCCCGCGGAGCCCAGCGAGGTCGGAGCGCCTGCCTCCCTTCAGCGTCTGAAAGGGACTCCACGGGCTGGCGCCAGCCCCGGTCCCCCCTCCAGATAAAGGGGAAAAGGGTCTGAATGTAGCCGAAGCTCAGGAAACCGGGCTGGGCGTCCGGCTGCGAGGGGCTCTCAGAGGTCCGCGTCTTGGCGGGCTCGCTGCTGCGGATGCTTCCGTTTCCGAGAGCCCAGCCCCGCGCCCGCTGCCGCTAACAAGGACTTGAGGGAGCCAAAGGCTGTGAAAAATATCTTTTTGCACTTCTGCTTCGTTAGTTAGAAACCAGGGGTCCCACGGCCGTGCGTTTTCCTGCATAATTTAAGAAATTAGCGGGAGCATGCCTGGGTTTCCCAGCCCGCCCCACTCTGCAAATTTGTTTAGCTTTTCTTTAAAACTGTCACCCGAGGCTGTTGGAACCTAAATATTTTAATATTGAGGAAAGGCAGGCTTGCTTGTTTGTTTTTTTTTTTTTTTGAGAAAGACATTGCTGCCCAGCCGGCGTGGCTTAGTGGTTGAGCGTTGAGGAGGTCAGGGTTCGATTCCCGGTCAGGGCACATGCCTGGGTTGTCCCCCCCCCCCCCGGTGTGGGGCATGCAGGGGGCAGCCAATCAATGGTTCTCTCATCATTGATGTCTCTCTCTCTCTCTTCCTCTCTGAAATCAATAAAAAATACTTTAAAAAAGAAAAAGATTGCTTGCCCCATCCACCCGGGGTCCTGGGAGTCAGGTGCTGAGGGTAATGAGCGACCTTGAGTCTGACCGTACCCCACCTGTCCGCCCTCTGGCCTTAATCAGCCCAGTTCTCATAGTGACCGAGAGGGAGGGGTGTGTGGCAGGGGGTGTCCCCTTCTGAGAGCCAGTGTCAGACCCCGCCTGACCCGCTGCAGAATGAAGACCTGAAGCTATCTGTGGCCTCATTCACTCTTGCAAATGTATCTGGCTGTGCAGTTAGAAGCACTGAGGTGTGTGCGCATATGTGTGTGTGTGCATGTGCATGCGTGCATGTATGTGTGTGAGTGTGTGTGTGTGTATGTATGTGTGTCTATGTGTGTGAGTGTGTATGTGTGTGTGAATGTGTGTGGGCGTGCATGTGTGCATGTGCGTGCGTGTGTGTGTGTGTGTGTGTGTGTGTGTGAGAGAGAGAGAGAGAGAGAGAGAGAGACGGCTCCCTGGCCTTGGAAAGACTTTAGAAACTGTTTAACGTTGATATTGCTGAGGGACACACAACCATGTGCGCCCACAGGAAGATGGCGATCTGTAAAAATGTCGCTGCTTCAGAAATTAACCGACACAGTTCACGTTACTACGCAAGCCTAGGAGAATTTCCATGTTGGAACTTGACGAGAAGTTGTTGCTGCGTGCCCGGAAGAACAAATTATTTTTTGGGGAAAAGAGGAGGGAGGAGGAACGTGTCCTGCGAGAGAGAGCTAAGGTATAAGCAGCGATGATTTCAGCGGTGAGGACGGCACAGGCCTCTAAGGCCGGCAGAGGCCAGGCCAGCTTCCGACCAGCGTGCGGACTGTGATGCCAGTGGCATCAGAGGGGCGGGGCAGGCGCTGCAGGGACCAGGCCGGGCTGGCGGGTGAGCCGCAAGAAGACAATGCGACCGCAGCCTCACATCATTTCCAAATAAAAAGGGGCTCCACTCGGTACTTGACCGAAAAGGCGAAAAGCGCCGGAGGACACAGTTTAGACGCAAGTGACGCTTCTCAGCTTTTGCACACGTCCGCACGGCGCTGGAATCAAAGAGGAAAGGGATCGATTCGGCCAAAAACGTGTGTGAGAGACAGCACCACACACGGGATGAAAAGCCGAAGACAGGCTGCGGGAGACGCTGGCCACATTGTTGGCCTCGAAGGGCCTGGGGCAGCGTTTGCCAAAACGGGTTAATGCTTTTAATATGCAAAGAGCTCTTGTCAATAAATAAAAGGACGAGCACCCCAAGGGGACGAGCAGAGATGGCAGGAAGAGGCATTTCTGCAAAAGAAAAAAACGCAACTGGCCAGTAAACATATGGAGAAACGGTTGAGCCTCATTAATGATCAAAGAAACGCGCGCACAGCAGCAGCGCTGCACTGTGCTCGGCCTTGGCCAGCGGTTTCCCCAGACGACGCCTGCTGCTGACGGAGATTCGGGAGGACAGCCGCCATCCGGCCCAGGGCGTCGGGAGGCACACACTTATCTGGAGGCTCTTCCCCGGCATCCCGATGCCCGCCCGGCACGGTTCAGAGACGAGGGCGCGAAACGGGGCGAAGGGAGCAGCAGGTGGGTGCGTCCACCTTCGAGGCTGGACCCACCCGTGGCCGCAGCAGCGAGAGCTCAGGGAGGAGGGAGGCCGGAGGAGCGTTTGGTGACGGGAAACAGACTACAGGTGCGGCTGTCGTTTTACTTCATTTTGTCTTCAGAGCTTCGGTCTTTCTATAGAGCTATCAATTCCTTTATTAATTCTGAAAATTCTGGGAGATAAAAATAGCGGGCGCCTTTGGGAATTCTCCGCCCAGGGCTGGATCCTGGACGGCATCCCCGAGACGCGGGAGCAGGCGATGATGGTCCAGACCCTCGGGATCACCCCCAGGCACGTCAGTGAGTAGCCCCCAGGCCCCCCAGCTGCCGGCCCCCCAGGGAGACCTGCTGTGTCCGCCCCGAGCCCGGCCCGCCCAGGCCAGCAGGGAGCTCGGTGAGTCTTTAAAACGTGGCTGTTATCTGGACCCTGGTGGTTCCTGTTCCAGGAATCTCACACCTGAGAGTCTCTCTTTAGGAAACACTGAAAAACCTGGCCAAGGTGCGTGTGCGGAGATGTGCCTGCCGGCGCCGAGCGCGGCCTGGAAGGGTTAGGGGTCGGAGGGTCAGGCGTGCGCGGTCCTCGGTCCTGAGCTCGAGGCCTTTGTGTTTGGTGCCGAGACCCCTCGGGTGGGAGATGGCGGTGGCTCACGGTCATGAACAGCGAGAGATGGTGGGGCAGGGGTTGGCCCACGGAGTCCAGTGTCCGGGACCCGCTCCCACCTGCCGGGTTGTCTTCCTCCTCCCCCTCCCCCTCCTGCTACCCCTCCTCCCCTCCCCCTCCCCTCCTTCCCCTTCCTCTCCTCCCCTCCCCCTCCCCTCCTTCCCCTTCCTCTCTTCCCCCTCCCCCTCCCCTCCTTCCCCTTCCTCTCCTCCCCCTCCCCCTCTTCCTCTTCTGCAGTCGCGCTGAGCGCCCCGGACACGGTCCTGATTGAAAGGAACTTGGGGAAGAGAATTGACCCTCAAACTGGAGGTACACCCCTCCCCCCTGTACTCCCCCTCCCCCCCCATGCAGCCGAGCAGGGACCCCAACTGCGCCCTGTCGTCGGCAGAGATCTACCACACCACCTTCGACTGGCCCCCCGAGCCTGAGGTCCAGAACCGCCTGGTGGTGCCCGAGGGCATCTCGGAGCGGGAGACGGTGCAGAGGCTGCTGCGGCACCACAGGAACATCGTCAGGGTGCTGCCCTCGTACCCCGGGGTCCTGAAGGTCATCAGCGCCGACCAGCCCTGCGTGGACGTCTTCTACCAGGGTGAGCGCGGCGGGCGCGGCCACGGCTCAGAGCTCGCACAGTAACCGCCTCCGGGTTCCTCGCTCACATGTGGGAGTTCATAACGAGGTCATGCCTGGGCGGTGAATGAACACGCGGTGTCGGAATACGTTCATCACCAGCAGTTAATCACGCAGAGCGAGAGGCTGAGGACCGGAAGGCGCGTTCTCTGCTGTTTGCTCGTCTCTGCAGTGCGAGCAGCAGCCACGCTTTTCAAAGAGTGATTAGCGGTGGAGGCGTCGGGGCCGTCACTCCTCACGAGCGAAGTTCCTGCCTGTCAATCAGGCAGCGTCGGTGCTCCCTGGATGTGCCGGTCTCGGATGGTCTGCGAACCGAGACCCTGCTTGGGCCGCGTCCTCCGGGCTGTTCGCACTGGTGGCGGCGGCCCCGTGGGCGGCCCCGTGGCGGTGGGTTCGGGAGCGTGGCCGCCCCCAGCTCTGTGAGTGGGGACAAGAGGACTGGCCCACAGGCCTGCAGGGCATGTAGCTTCGCAGTCACGGCCTTGAAAACAGTCACTTAACTCACCTGTGCCTTTAATTCCAAACGAGGGCAGCCCGGCCGGCGGGGCTCGGTGGTTGAGCTTTGACCTATGACCCAGGAGGTCACGGTTCGATTCCCAGTCAGGGCACAGGCCTGGGTTGTGGGCTCGATCCCCAGTGGGGGCTGTGCAGGAGGCAGCCAGTCAATAATTGTCTCTTATCATTGATGTTCCTCTCTCTCTCTCTCTCTCTCTCTCTCTCTCTCTCTCTCTGAGAGCAATACAAAGTATTTATATATTTTAAAAAGAGTGCCAGGTGCCACCCGCGCCGCACCCGCCCGGGCCAGCGGGCCGGCTCCTCAGGGCGGCGTTGGCCCAGCCCCTGGTCCGGGCGGCGTCTCCATGAGCGGAAAGGTGTCACAGCCACCACAGCGGACCGTGGGCACTGGATGCCTGGGTCCCTGACAGGAGGCGGGGCTGGTGGGGAGACCCCGCTTGGTGTGGGCAACTGGGCAGCGGGCAGGGCCTGGGCCTCCACTGAGCGGCAGCTCCCCTGCCCAGGGACCTGGGGGCCCGTTTCTGGCCTCTGCCCCCCGCCCCCACCTGCTCGCACGCCTCCCCACGCTCTGTGCCAGGCACGAGGCCGCGGGGTTGGTGCTCAGCAGCCTCGGCCCCAGGGCTTTGCCTGTCTGTGCGGTGGCTCGGGGCTGGCGCCGCTCCCGTGTCCACCCAAAGCCAGGGCCCCACCGCCGGCGGGGCCGCGCCGCCCGCCCCTCTCCCTGGGGCCTGCGTTTATTCTCTTCCTCCTGACTTCCAGCTCTGACCTACGTCCAGACCAACCGTCGGTCCAACGCCCCCTTCACGCCCCGGGTGCTGCTCTGCGGGCCGGTGGGCAGCGGGAAGAGCCTGCAGGCCGGGCTCCTGGCCCAGAAGTACGGCCTCGTCAACCGTGAGTGCGCCCACCCGCCCGCCTCCCCTCACCTTTCGCCTCCCGCCTCCGCCCTCTGCCCAGGGGTGTCTTTCTCTCGCTCGCCCTCCTGCTGGAGTGTGACGGAGTCTCTGTCCCCCCCCCCCCCCCCCCAGTGTGCTGCGGGCAGCTGCTGAAGGAGGCCGTGGCCGACAACTCCAGGCAGGGCAAGGCCATCCAGCCCTTTTTTGAAAAGGAGATGACAGGTAGGCCCGCGTCCGAGCTCCACCGCGGGCTCTGGGGGAAGCCGCTCCCCGGTGGGGGGAGGGGGGAGGGCTCCCTGGGCACCTGGGGGCTCCGGTCAGGGAAGCGGCCGGGAGTTGGGACGGTTTTCTCATGGGCACAGGCTCCGTGGTCGCTCCTGGGAAGGCCTGGGGGCTGCGGGCGTCCAGGCGAGGGCTCTGTGGACCCGCTGTCCACGGCGGTTTGGAAGGTGTCTGTGTCTCAGGGACGCTGGCTTTCGGTAACTGAAGGCGGAGCGCCGGCGAGGCCACAGCCGCCGCCTCCGTTACTCCGCGTGCAGAACGCTCTGGCTGACCTGGTTCAGGCGGCGTCGGAGCCGAGGTCCGCCAGCCGTGCCAGACGGAGCGCAGTGGCTGCCCCTGGGCCTCGGGTCCGAGCCGCCTGCCGACGGGGAGCTGGGCCCAGTCACTCCCCGGGCCCCGCCCCGCGGTCCGCGCCCTGAAAGCACCCCGAGATGCTGCCTGAGGAAGGGAGCCTGTGCGCTCATTCTGTCCAGTTTCCTGCGCCCACAGACGGTGCTGCTTTCTTGGGGGCCCCTCGAGGCATCTCAGGTTCCCCTCACGTCCTGGCGTGTTTTATTTTATTTTATTATTTTAATATTTTTATTGATTTCAGAGAGGAAAGGAGAGGGAGAGAGAGAGAGAGAAACATCAGGGATGAGAGTGAATCATTGATCAGCTGCCTCCTGCATGCTCCCTACTGGGGATCGAGCCCACAACCTGGGCATGTGCCCTCAATTGGAATCGAACCTGGGACCCTTCGGTCCACAGGCCGACGCTCTGTCCACTGAGCAAAGCCAGCCAGGGCCTGGGCGTGTTTTAGACACCTGCCCTCCGTGCAGCCATTCCTGAGGCAGACTCCGGCCACCCCCCATGATGTCCAACGGGCACCTGCCAGGGCAGAGGCTCCGGGTCAGGACAAGGGGCCTTGTCCCCCGGGGCACACCCAGGCCCCTCGGAGTGGGCAGTCAGAGCTCCTGCCGGGAGCCGGCCCCGTGCAGAGACGCACCCGCCACCCCCAGGGCCAGGCAGTGTCCCGGGTGCGGCCGCCTCCGCGGGCCGCTCTGCCCGCTGCTGGCCGTGGCCGCCTCTGTGCCTCCCAGTCCGCCCTGCGTCCCTGCTGCTCAGGCTCTCGCCCTCTCGCTCACCTTGAGCCGCAACCCCCAGACGGCCGCCCTGTCACCGCGGAGCTTCGAGGCCACTCTGCGGTCATCGTCCCCTGCATCCCCCGCTCCGCGACGAGATCCAGATGTCGCCCTTGGCCGTGTGGAGCGCCTGCTCCCGTCCCCGCGGGGCCCCGATGCCATGTCCCAGCCGCGACCTCGCAGACGCAGTCATGTTCTCCGTGTCCTCACGGGGCTGCCAACACCTCCGCCTCTCGGATCAGCAGCGAAATTAATAACCGTGTTGCCTTCCCATCTTCCCACGGCCACGGGCACAGGCCCCAGGGCCCCTCTCGCTCGTCCTAAACCTTCGACCCTGGCTCCCGGGACGCGCCGTGGACAGCGGCGTGGGGAGGTGCTCGTCCGGTGCCCTGGGCTTGGAAACCTATAGGTCTGGCCTCGTACACTCATTCCGCCTCGAGCCGCCGCACACACAGCACACTATTCCGGGGCGGCACCCGCCTCTCTGTTTAGCCGCCCCCGTTACTGGCACCTGAGTTGGGCTGCGCACGGCACACCCGTCGGCCCTGGGCCGCGCGACTCGGCTGCCGGAGCCCCTGTCACTTTGACACGGGCACGGGACAGTAAAAAGCTGTCCTGGATGCGGAAAAACAGCTTCTCCGCTGCTTGCTCTCAGTTTCAGTGCGGGGGTCGGCGCCTCTCTGTACGGCGGCAAAGTGCGCGAATGTGGTTTTCCTCCCCAAGTCAGACCCACAGGCCTCAAGCTCTCGTTCCTGCCTGAATCGGTGGCGACTCCGTGGCCTCCTTCCCTGGGCACCTCCCACCACAGGGCCCCGCGCTTCCCAGGAAAGCGGCCCTCCGCCCCTGCCCACTGGGCGCCGGGTCCCCAGATTTCACTTCATGTGACAACCAGCCCTGCTCACCCGCCTCAGTCCACCCCCGGGAGTCTGCACAGCTTTAATTTCCCCTGGCCCCCGGGGTTCCAGCTGTGAGGTATGGCCCCATGTGTGTGGTGTGTGTGTGTGGCTATGTGTGTGGTGTGTGTATGGCTGTGTGTGTGGCTGTATGTTGGTTGTGTGTGGTTGTATGTGTGGCTGTGTGTGCGGCTGTATGTGTGGCTGTGTGCATGGCTGCGTGTGGATGCATGTGTCTGCGTGTGGCTGTGTGTGGCTGCATGTGGCTGCGCATGTGGCTGTGTGTGACTGCTTATGTCTGCTTTGTGGCTGCGCGTAGCTGCGCGTGGCTGTGAGTGGTAGCTATGGCCTGGCCCCCGACTGCGGCTCTGATGCGTGGCACGGAGGGAGGCCTCGTACGGAGGGAGGCCTCGTCCGGCTCTGCTGGCCGTTTTCCTGCTTGCACGTTGCTTGGGCTCCCCTGACCGGCCCCCAGGGGGCTGCCTCGCGTGTGTTTAGGCCTTTGCTCTGAGTGTGAGGTGCTTGTCTTGGTCCGTCCGCTTTGCACGGAGACCGGGTGGGGCTGTCGGGTTGGGGCCAGCAGTGCGGGCGCGTCCCCGCCGTGGGGCTGAGCTGGCCGCCAGCTTCCACACGCCCCGTCCCCGGCAGAGAGGGGTGTGCATTCCAGCACCGGCCAACCGACCAACTCACCTCAGCCCTGTACCCCCCCACCCCGCCCGTCAGCTTCCCCGACAGCCACACAGCCCAGCGACGGGCCCGCACCCCCTGCTCACCCCGGCACTCGGGCCTTCAGGCGAGAGCAGCGGCTCCCCTAAGAGCAGGTCACCCCCCCATGCGCAGGAGACTGACGGGGAGACAGACCCGGATGGGCTGCGTGTTGCCTGCCCCCTGCACTTCCATCTGGAGCAGGGCCCTCGCGGCAGCAGAGCTGAGAGGAGGCGCGAGATTCGAGGAGATTCGACTCTAATTTGCATCCTTTCTGGTAATGAGACCCCCCCCCCCCAGCCGGCACAGCCCTCCCAGCACAGACCAGACAAACCAGCCCCAAATGGGGGTGATTAGGAGCGTTTTCCAGAACCTTCCGCGCATCCATGTCCCAGGGGGAGGATCAGAGCGCAGCCAGGGCGCCTCCTTTTTGGGGGGAATTAATATTCTCATCGCTAAATGCACACGAACGATGCAACAATAGGCCAGCTTTTTGCTTTTGTTAAACATCACGGGGGTTTGCTGCGTTGAAAGGCAAAATAAACCTGCCTGTCCGAGGAGGAGGTGGAGTGCAGCCCGGGGGGGGGCGGGGATGGGCCGGGGCGCCCCGCCACGGAGGGGCCTGGGGACCCCGACTCCGCAGCCCGCGGTGTGTACCCGCGCCGCCGGCTGAATTATTCAGCGGCTGGTGGATGGACTCACGGGTGTAATTAGGAGGGAGAGACGGAGTGCGGCGCTGGGGGGCCGGGGGCTGCGTGTTTGGAGAGGAACTTTCTAGGTGCCGGCGTTTGAAGCTCAGGTGGGAAGAGCTCAGCGCCTCCACGTTTGAAGTGGAAATAGGACAGTTTGAATCCGTCGAGTTTAATTTTTCACAAGCTTTAGGGGCCCTGCGGTGCAACTCCCTTTTTATGATTGAAAAAAACCACATTTTTCTTTCATTTTTTTCTGCACACACGCATGGACACACACACACACACGCACACACACACATGCACACACACATGCGTGCGGGGCCAGGCAGTCAGTGGTACACACACTCATTTACTCTCTCGTTCAACATGTGTGTCATCGGCCTCGCTCCCTGGTTGTGTCCCTCCCTGTCCATACTGGGGGGCCCCGGGCACCCCCACTGCAGGGCTGCCGGGGGGTGGAGGGTCACCAGCCCCGAGTTGCTGCATCCCAGGGCCTCGCCTGGGCCTGGCGGTGCTTTTGAAGTGGCTCCTTTATTTCAAGTCCAACTTCTCATTCTCCGCTGGGACGCCGCACAGACTTCCTCCTGGGAAGGAGGCGCAGGCTTTCAGTTGGGAGGGGCTGTGGCCGTGTGTGTGTGTGGGGGGGGCTGAGGGGGCCGTGGCTGTGGCAGCCGTGGCCAGGGGGGCATGGCGGGGCTGTGGCCTGGGGGGGCTGTGGCCGAGGTGGGGCCGTGGCCATGGGAGCCATGGCCAGGCGAGGACCATGACGAGGGTGTGGCGGGGGGCCGTGGCTGTGGGAGCGGTGGCCGGGTTCGGGCTCCATCCGCAGCAGGTCTCCGTGGCAGGAGGGCCTGCTCACGAGGACGGAGAGAGAACAGGTCAGAGGGCCCGGCTCCCTGTGTCACTAAGACTAGACTTTCATCGCAAAGGGCGTGCAGCCTCTGCTTTATCAGGCTGGCGCTTCGCCCGGGGCCTGAAGGGTCTGACACCATCAAGGTCGCAGGCTTTCGTTCAGGGGCCGGACAGCGGGGAAACGGAGGCAGCGGGCTCTCCGCTCGTTCATGCTTCCGGTCCATGGCGTCCTCTCCCCGGCCCTGGGCCGTCCCGCGGGGGCTGTGCTGGACGGGGCTCCCCGGGCTCGCTCGTGCCGGCTCCCAGGCCGTGCACCTGGCAGGGCTAAGCGGGCCCGACACCGTGTCCTTCTTGCTCTGACCGCAGCTCGGGAAGCGCCCCTCCCGGCAGCCCGCGGCCTCCAGCCCACTCAGCTGTGAAATCGTCTGCGACAGGCAGGTCTCCGCGCACCCCTGCGGCAGGTGCGGCTTGAAGCCCGGGCCTCGGGGACTGTCCCTCACACCGGCTCCTTCTCCTGGGCTGGGAGAGGGGCCTGCGAGGGGCCGGCCCTGGTGAGCTCTGCAGGCCCAGCCTCAGACAGCGGCTGTGTCCCTGCATCAGATCAGGGACAGGAGGCTGGCTGGGGTCTGCCAGCTCAAGGCTTTCCTGCGGGGCACGCGGCACGGCTGTGACAGGCGAGGGGGAGCGCGGCCCGCGCCCTTCAGCTCAGCACCTGTCCACACGGCTCCCAGGGAGGGGAAGTGGGGGTGAGGGTGGGGGTGCGGTGGAGGGGGCGTTGGCAGGGGGAGCAGAGGGACCGTGGAGAGCGTGCCTCTGCTTGTGCTGTCTGCCCCGGGGCCAGGGCCCGATGGGCGTTCAGCAGGGTTGTGAGTGAAGGGTGAGCTCCAGGCAGCCCAGCATGCGAGTGGCCGCAGGTGGATGGCAGGGTTCACGCTGTCTCCCCTGCCCCCCAAAGGCAGGGGGAGAGCAGAGATGGGGCACATGGCCCAGAGCCTGGTCATCTGCCTTAACTCTGGGCCCGCTGCCTGTTAGCTGTGTGGCCTTGGGCAGGTCACTTCCTCTCTCCGTGCCTCAGTTTCCTAATCTGTAAAATGGGGCTGTTGGGAAGATCACATGCATTAATGCTGGTGTTAAATGAATACACGCTTAGAACAGAGCCGCGCGCACAGCAGGCACGACAGCATGCGCTCATTAAATGAATCTGCATCGGATTCCATCCCAGAAAACGGGGCTCCCACCTGCTCCCCACTTCCCAGAGCTGCTGGTTTTCTCCTCACCGATCCTGTGGGCAGGGGTGTGCATTCTCACTGCCTTTGAAAAGTGGGGGACTAACTCGTCTGAGCCCCAAATCCATTAACATGGAGGGGAATCCTGTTCCGTAAACTAGGCCCACGGGGGACGGTGGCTGTGAGACCCTCCACTTTGAACCCCGACCCCGACAGCCTGGCTGGCCGCCTCTCATTCCCATTTCCACATTCACAGTCACTGGGAGGCGTAGACTTGGGTCCTAAGGTGAGAATAACTAATGATCAAATCGCTGTACAGTGCGGGCGAGCAGTGTATTAAAAGTCCGATTAATTTGCTGGGTGCAGTACCATTTATTTTCAGAAGAATGTCTGTATTTTAAACGGTCTTTTCCCGTCTGAAACCTCACTGGAGAGACAGCTGGCGGAGGCGGTGGGAGGGCTCCTCCGCCTGGCGGCTGCGGGCGCCTCGGCGTGTGCAGGCCGCGATCTTGTCCGCGCTCCTCGCCCGAGTGGACGTGGCAGAGGGAGAGGTGGGAAGGGGCTGGCCATCTGGAGGGTGAGCCGCGCGAACGTGCCCCTGATTGGTGAGAGCCGCAGGGATAGCGCCCGTTTCTAGGCCTGAGAACAGCCCGCGTTCAGAAAGTTACTCCCGGCGCCGTTGTCTGCCCAGCAGTGTTAAGGGTTATCGTTAAGCAACAGAGACGGTGGAATGCAGACTTTCGAAACCTCAGGGAGCCCCAGGCCGGGGAGACGGAGCTTGTCTGGGGCGTGACCAGGGAGGCGCCCGGGCATTGAGTTGCAGGCTGCCCCGGGTTCAGATCCCTCAGTGTCTCCACTACGGTCATCGGTTGTGCCGTGTGGCGCGCAGTGCCCCGCTCGGCCAGCAGGTGGCAGGAAATAACAAACTAACGGCGAGGCGAGGCCACAGCGAGGCGGGCGGGCGGGCGGGAGGCCGGGTGGGCCCTGTTGTGCAGGTCTCGCTGAGCCGGGTCATTTCCGGTGGCTGCACCCAGGAGGGTGCAGGTTCAGCTCCCTGGAGTCGGCGCCATGGGGGGGGGGGGGCGGTTTTAAGTCTCCCCCAGAAATAGCTTTTGTTGAATTACAGTGACTGTACGTTGGGGGCCCACAGGGTCCCAGCCAAGCCTGGCCAAGCCCCCAACATCCTCCCGGGGAGGCGCAGGAGGGAGCCCCTTCCTTCCAGGCGTCAGTGTGGGAGGTGGGAGAGCAGTCCTGTCCGCTCCTCCCGCGCCCACTGGGCTGCCTTGGCAGGCTGGGCGGGAGGGAAGGAACCTGACAGGAGCCACGTGTC